GGGAAGAATTCAAGAGAAAGAGATAACAATCATAAACATGTATGCACCAAATATGGGAGCATCCAACTGTAAATGAAAAATATCAATAGACATTAAAAATCAGATAAACAATAACCCAACTGTAATGGGTGACCTTAATACCCTATTGGCACAAAGAGACAGATGAACTTGACAAAAATCAGCAAACAACAAAACTGAACCAAACCTATGAACAAACAGACTTAGAAGATGTTTGCAGAATGTTTCACCCAGAATACACATTTTTCTCAGCTGCACATAGCATGTTCTCAAAAATAGACCATTTACTAGCCAATAGAACATGCTTAAGATATAAATAAGGCCATTACATACTTGGTAGGGGAAAACTCATGGGGAAGAGATAAGTCATAAATATGTATACACCAAGTATGAGAGCACCCAACTATATAATATTAATATGTTTGAAAAATCAAATAAGTAATAACATGACAAAGATAAGCCAAATATATATTACTTATAATTATCAATGCAATTGTTTTCTTTACTTAAGTAAATGCAAAGCATTTGAAATTATCACATGCATATTACCTGACCATCATGCAATGAAATTGGAAATGAATGATAACAGAAACCACAGAAACTCCATAAACACATGAAAATTAAATAACAGCCTTCTGAAGAACCAATGGGTCATGGGTGAAATTAAAGAAAAAATTAAACAATATCTACAATCAAATTAAAATGCAAATACACCATGCCTGAACCTGTGGGAGGTCATGAGAACAGTCCTAAAAGGGAAATTTATAGTCGTGAATTCTCACATCGGGAAAATAGAATGAGCAAAAACAAACAACTTAGTGCTACACCACAGGCTTCTAGAAAAAGAAGAGCAAATCAAACCCAAAACCCATAAAAGGGAGCAAATTATAAAGATCAGAGCAGAAATTAATGCAATTGAGACAAAGAAAATAATAGAAATAATTAATAAACCAAGAGTTGGTTCTTCGAAAGAATAAATTAAATTGCTAAACCTGTAGCCAATCTTATCAAAAAAAAGGAAAAATGCTCAAATTCATGCACTGAGGAATGAAAAGGATGAGATCACTGCAGATCCTGTGGAAATTCAGAAGGTCATGAATACCTACTTCAAAAATCATTACTCACATAGGATGGAAACACAGAAGAAATGGACAGATTCCTACAAATGGGTGAATTACCAAAGCTGAATCAAGAGGATATAAAAATTCTGATTAACCCAAATTCAGTTAATGAAATTGAAAACATAATTAAAAATTTACCAATGAAGAAAAGCCCAGGACCCAGTGGATTCACAGCTGATTCATACAAGAAATTTAGAGAAGATTTAATGGCAATATTCCTCAAATTCTTCAATGAAATTGAAAGAAAAGCAGTTTTCTCTAACTCATTCCTAGCAAGTGTTACCCTGATACCAAAACTAGAGAAAGACGCAGCCATACCCAGCCAAAAAGGAAAACTATAAGCTAATCTCCCTAAGGACACAGATGCAAAAATCCTTAACAAAATACTAGCAGACAGAATGCAGTAAATCATCAAGAAGATTATACACCATGACCAAGTGAGATTCATCCAAGAAATGTATGAATGGTTCAACATACACAAATATAAATGTAACACACTCTCTCAACAGGCTAAATTTTAAAATCACATGATCATGTCAATAGATGCAGAAAAAGTAGAAAAATGAGGAAAATGAATTCCAACACTTATTCATGATTTTAAAATCCCTCCAGAAAATCAGAATAGATGGTTTTTATCTCAATGTGATAAAAAGTCATCTATGACAAACCAACAGCCAACATTATACTAAATGGCCAAAAGATGAAAGTTTTTACTCTAAAATCAGAAACAAGACAAGAATGTCCACTGTCACCACTCCTATTAAGTATAGTTCTGGAAATACTAGCCAGAGCAATTACACAAGAGAGAGAAATGAAAGGATTACAGATAGGGAAGGAAGAAGTTAAATTATCACTATTCACAGATGACATGATACTCTACATAGAAGATCCCAGAACCTCTATCAGAAGACTTCTAGAGCTAACAACTAAATTCAGCAGCATAGCAGGTCACAAAGTTGACACTCAAAAATTAATAACATTCCTGTACCAAAAAAGCAAACTCAATGAGAGAGAAATTAGGGAAAGCACACTTTCCGAATAGCACACAGAAAGAAGAAAAGTCACAATCCCTGATTAGAAATTATACTACAAAGCTTGTGATACTGGCACATGGTACTGGGGGAAAAAAAGCAGACCTGAGGATCAAGGTAACAGATTGTAAAATACAGCACAACTACAAAACACTCAGTCACCTTATATTTGACAAAGGGGCTAAACATGTTCAATGGAAGAAAGACAGCCACTTTAATAAATGGTGCTGGAAAAATTGGCTTTGCACATGCTGAAGATTAAACTAGACCAATGTCTATCACCATGCACTAAACTAAAGTCAAAATGGATCAAGGATCTAAATATTAAAACAGAAACACCAAATCTATGGAAAGAGAAAGTAAGTAGAACTCTTGAAGATATATGGGTAGGCAAAGAGTTCATGAACAACATGAAAACTGACTGAGAAGTATATCAAAGAATCAACAACTGGGATCTCATCTTATTAAAAAGTTTTTGCACCTCAAAATAAATATCAACAGAGTGAAGGAAAACCCAGAAATTATGAAAATATTGTAGTCAACTGTGTATCAGACAAATGACTTCTATATAGAATATACAAAGAATTTTAAAAAATCAGATCCCTCCAATTCAAAGCCCCAAACCAGAAACGGGCATCTGAGATACTTTGCAGATGGAGAGATACAAATGGAAAATAAATACATGAAAAAATGTTCAACATCATTGGTCTTCACGAAATGCAAGTTAAAAGAGCATTGGTACTCCATCTCATCCCAGAAAGAATGGCTATCAAGTATAAATCAACCTATAACAAATGATGACTGGGATGTGGAGGAAAAGGAACCCCTCTCCACTGTTTGTAGGAGTGTAGACAGGTGCTGACCTGTGGAAGTTCCTCAAAATCTAGAATTAGAGGTCCCATTCGACCCAGCAATTCCTCTTCTGGGTATCTTCCCAGAAGAATTAAAACATCATACCATAACAATATATGACACCCATGTTTATAGCAGCATAATTAGTAATAGGCAAATCTTGGAAACCCAAATATCCATCAACGGAGGAATGGATAAAAAAGATATATTTCTGTACAGTGGTTTACTACTCAGCTATATAGAAAGATAAATTCAAAGCTTTTATGGGTAAATGGATGCAACTTGAGACCATACTTATAAGTGAGATAAATCAGATTTGTATGTGCAAACATTGTATTGTCTCCCTAGTGTAAGAAACTGTTAAGAGTAATATACAAACTCTGCAGCAGATATTGTGAAAGGGAAAGAAACCACTCAAAAGGAGAGAATAACTGGGATAGGGGAAAGCATAAAAGAAGGAAGAAAATTATATATGAATATATATACATATATACACATATATATGTATATACACACACACAAGATAGCTAAGATAGTTATACTGATTTCTTTTAGTTTATTGAAAGGAATGCTCTGTGCTTTTATTATTTGATCAATTTTGAAAGCCTGCTTTGAAGATAATAATACCCAATATATTAACCACTATTAATTGTTATGAAATTCTGTACCATTTTTCTCTATAAAATTAAAAAAAAGAAATGAAAGGTTATTGAAGCAAGTATTTAAGGAATGTGTACCTATGTAACATTCAATTAGCCCTTTCCTAACTTAACGAGGTGCACCACACTATTTTCAAGGATTGAATAATCAAGAGTGCATTTTCTTTGTTGTCAAAAATATGTCACTTGCCCTTAACTATGTGTGCACAGACTGTATTTTGACAACCGTAATCTAGAATTTACTTATCGCTCACCTGTGTTTTTGTTATTCTCAGAGAATTCTTCATACTAACTAGAAAATCATTCAGTGGAACTTTCCACTTACTAGTAATGTCAACAAATATTTCCATCTGGAGGATTCAACAGATTTATCAAGGCAGTTTTCATCAACCATGCCATGATGAGGCTCAGTGATCTCAAGTGGTTTATATTTTTATTATTTTGTTTAAATTTATAAATACTTAAAACACATTAGAAATAATAATAAGCTATAATTCATCCAAATAAGAGTTTACAAGAATAATGCCTACTGGTTTTTCTGGTACTTGAATATTCTAAGTTTTTTAATACATGAACTTCTGCTAGATTTAGCTCTTTTTTGTTTGTTTGTTTGTTTCAGAAATGTATAGTTCCCTCCAAGTAAATATTAGGCTACACATTTCTCTCTGCTATATTTCTTATAATTTAAGAAACACTGAATCCAATGTTCAGTGCTTTTCATTTTAATCATAATATCCAATATGCTACCTGCTCCTCTTAACCAAACAGTGAGATAAAGGTGGATTTCACTCTCTGAAAAACATTTGTGAATTTGTTGAAAAAGGAATCACTATCAGAGCAGTCCCACGGCTGGTCCTGCAACATCGCTGTTCTCAAAAAAAGTAACAAAATGTAATTTAACTTTTTTCTAAAACTACTACATTAGTGAGATCATAATGATGTACTGCCAACGATGATTTTGGGGGGTCCCAGGATATAGCTCAGCAGTACAGGCATCTGCCTGGCAAGTGCAAGGTCTTTAGTTCAATTCCCAGCACACACAAAAAGTTTTTATTTATTTATTTAAAGTCTTGTCAGTAGATTCAGATTCATTTTCCCTATTTTTGTACCAATAATAGTAACTCCCTAGGGTTTCTTTTCCTTTTTTAAATGAAATTATTATATGGGTACCTTAGTATCACTAGAAACCTTTCCGGTTTTCATTTACAGCTGACATTTTACTTAGTTTATTCATTTATTAAATAAATTATCAGATGATTTTTGGTTTGATGGTTATCTACATCCAAATAGGAATTGATTTCAGTATTTTCACTTTTCAGAATATTTCTCCCAGCACTTGGGCGAGTATGAGAATGTCCTGGCAGCCCTTGAAGACCTGAACCTCTCCCTCCTCAAGGCCATGGGCAAAACAAAGAAAGTAAGGAAATGGTCTGTTTACTTTCTATCAAAATCTCTTCCTTAAAAAATACATCATTGAAAATCATACCTATTTCTTAATGTATCATGAAAATTTTGATTCTTTTTTATTTATGTATAATTATATATTTTCCAATTTATTTTTCTTGATATTAAATGAACTATTTTATTCACTCATAGTATGACAAATGCTGTATGCCAGAGATTGTAGTTTTGCTGATCACACAAAGATGCAAAACCCCAGCCAGGCAGCTCTTAGTCTGATGGGGATACAAGTGTGTAGATAAATAATTACATTACAGTGTGACAGAAAGAAGCAGACGACAGAAAGTCTAACACACTGAAGGATTTAAAGAGAAAGCTAAATCATTTTATGTAAAAGAATAAATTGTCTAGCTCTCTAGTTTTATAGAATAGTCAGATCCAGACAGAAGGGAAATAGGCAAAAGAGAAATAGAAGGAACATGTGCAGAGGCAGAGCCGGGGGGCCACAGGCACTCAAGCACTGAGAAGGAAAGAGAGAGAGACTTGTGCATGACAGGAATTGGAAGTGGGGTAAAAAGGGTACGCATCTTCCATGATGTCCCCAGTGCCAGAGAGAGCATGGAGGAGAAGGGAAGAGAGGGAGAGAGAGAAAGAAAGACAGAGAGAGAGAGAGAGAGAGAGAGAGAGAGAGAGAGAGAGAGAGAGAGAGAGAGCTTGAGTTCTTGAGAATTAAATAGGAGAATGGAAATAAATATGCAATGGAAATTTGGAGAATAAAGTTTAGACAGTCTCCCAAAATGCAGAGTACAACAAAAGATCAAAGCATCAGCTTATATCCTATACCCTGTTCCCCTGTACAAAGAGAGAACAAAGATAACAAAAAACAATTGGAATAGATTTTTTCCTAGATTTCTTCAGGAGAATTTGGAAATGGATAGTAACCTTGTCCCTTGGGAATCGCTGGGTGGAAATACTCATTTTTAAAATCTCTGATACAGCTGGCCTCTTCTTGTTTTTTAGGTTTCATCTTAAATAACTTAGCCTTAGAAAGGTCTTCATTGATCACATACCTAAGGTTATCTCCACTAGGGTATCTCATTTGCTCCTTGCTAATAACCAGCATAAGTGGGCAGGGAATATAGCTCAGCAGCACAACACTCACCTGACCACCTCACCATGTGAGGTCATGAGTTCAATTCCCAGTACCTCCCTCAAAAAACTCAGCATAAGTAAATGTATACTTTTTTCTTACTTTTTGTCTGTAGAGAGCTAGAAGAATCAGTGTATTTTTTTCTTATGCTTATCTGAGCCTAGCATAGGACCTGACAATTAAAATTCACTCAAAAATTGACTGATATGTTTACTAAATGTGTTAACTGAATGAATATTCATACAGTTCCATAAGCTAAATGCTTTTGCTCCATAAAGAAACTGGCCCCTAAGTTTATTTAAAATGTTTTCAGATTTCTTTTAATAGACAGAAAAGGCAATCATGTTATCTTTCTTGTTTTATTATAAAAGTGCGATAAAATATGTTCTTTATCTTTGTAATAATACAATGAGGTTTTATAGAGCTCCAGTTGAAATCAACCTGTTATTTTGGTCTCTTCAGATTACAAAAATCTTTGTCTTGACAATGACCCATAAAAACAAATTTGATTCATAGGATAATACTGCTTAATCAAAGAAAACATACATGTTTGAATTTTTTAAAAATGGGGAAAGAAAGAAAAGGACTGGTAGAAAATAAAATTAGAAACAATCCCTTAGTGTGACAATTTTAAAATGAGTGACATGCAGGATTTTGACATTTTTCAAGCCATTTGAACTGGTATCTTCCCCAGACTGTCTAGCACAATGAAGCCCTCTGAGTGAAACTGCCAGGATTTCTGTTTGAGAGTCTCAGGATATTTTTACTTGGATGAAAAGTTCTGTCTCAGTAGGAAAGGCTGACTATTCCAGGCTTTTATGAAAATAAAATGCAAGTCATTTGTGATCTCTCTCGACTGGCAGTATGTCTGTTTGCTGTGTCAGAGCATAGATAAAATGGGTCCTAACTGCTTAACCGAAACCCCGGGTGGTGACTCAGGACAGATATGGCATCCGTCATTATGTCACCTCTTCTCTTTCTTAATCCCAGGCTTTTGGCAGATCTGGCAGATCTTTTGGTACTTGCTTATATTTATTAAACAAAGCATCACATGTCAAATTCCAAGTGGTCACTGGACAGCACACACAGAACACACACAGAACTGGGTTTGTCAGTCAGTTTTTCACCTTTCTGTAGAGTGGATAGTAAACTAACTCACATCGTCGTTATGGGACATGATTGTAACTCAAAGCAAATTTGGAATTCCAATGCTAAAGCTAAGATTCCTTATGTGATATAACAGGGACCAAGAAGCCGGCCCTGCAGATACCTAAGAAGTAAATGAACCTTGGCATCTCTTTTCATTTTATACGCCTCCTTCATTACCTTAGCTACAGGTCAGGTCACACTACTCAGCTCTGCATGTAGGCATGTTCATGCCTTAAGGAGCATCTGCCTACAAACTGCTGACACAGGAGCTGTCAACCCTAATGTCACCTCACCTATCTCATCCTCCTTCAGTGCTAAGGATACCAAGATAATATTTTTAAGATTTGCAGGAATATTCAGTTGTCAGCTTTTAAATCTGCTGCTCCAGATTCCCAGAGCAGCCCCTAAAAAGTTTCCAATCGTTGTCCTGAGTCTGCAGTCACGATGGATTCCAGGAAAAGCAGAGCTTTACAGAACAGATCACCTCATAATGAGACTGTCTCCCGTTTGGAAGCACTTACCCCACCATGGAACGGAGGCTGCCTCTATGAGCAGGAGCAGTTGTTTCATGGGAATCAATTACTATAGGTCTTCTGACAAGCCATCCCTCAGGGCTCGTCCTAGATAAAGATCAACCTGACCACATCTTCACCAGGATTACCTACTCTGCCGGCTAAAAAACAACGCAACCCTTGTTTTTATTCCAATTCATGTCTTGTTCCTCTTTTCTATAAAACCTTAAAGTTCTTGTCCACCCCTCAGTGACAGATTCTGAGCTTCTTTATCTGTCCTTCCCGGCATGACCATACATGAAAGCTTCTTTTCCTGCCCTCCACCACTGTCCCTCTCCTTCACCGATTCTTGGGGTCAGGTGACCAACCTGTTCTTCAGAATTCCCAGAGCAAAGACTTTCTCCCTAAAACTCCAGTAACACAATGAACACCAATGGTACTCCCTATTCATTGGCAAAATTCAAAAAGAGATTATTTTAAACTAAAGTAAAGAATGATATTCTTAATTGTTTCAAATTTCATGATCACCTTATTAGCGTGGCTCTGGGAAATTTCCAAAATAAAAGTGCGTGTACGTGCTTGTGTACGTGTATGTGTATATGTACGTGTACGTGTAGCATTCTTCTAAAAATTATTTTTCCAAGAAGCACATCTTACAATGATACTGAGGGAAAGATAAATGACTGAGCACAGCTGAACCTCTGCCACTTTTGATCTTCTATCCCTGTCACTTCTTTCTCTGGCATCTCTATACTGCTTTACCTCAACTTTGCAATCTGTCCTTACTTAGGTTCTCATTTTTAGGCTTCCCTAGTCTTCATAATGCTTTCATATTTAAAGATTACAATCTTTTTGTTTATGTCTTACAGTGAAAAAGAAAAATTATTACTAGGTCTCCACATTTCTATATGGGGAAAACTATTAATTATTATATTCTGTACAGAATTTGTCATGAAAAAGACCCTTTTTTTCAGGCAGCATATCAGCATTGAAATGATATCATATGTGATAGTAAAAAATAACCTCTTAGATTACATAAAATAAGCATACTCATTCTTTATTATGGTTTCATTGTAATCCTTTAAGTATGGATTAAAAGTAAAATGAAACATTATTTTGGGACTTCAGAATAACCATAAGAAAATATTTTCCAAAAAACTTGGCGCACCCTTTGTTCCCTGAGATGATCTGTTTTATGTGAGTGTTTAGGGAAGAAGTAGAGACTAGGAATGTGAGAAATAGAGAAGCAACTTTAGGTTTCAACTTTGACCTGATAGGAGAGAACAAGCCTGAAAATCTGGCTTGCCATCGTGGCCAGACATCCTTGTCCAGAACCTGGTAAAAGGGAACCCCAGTTGCTTGCAAAGGTCGCTCTATTAGATCCTGAGGGACATGGTCCTGTCAGAGGAGATCCACGCTCTGCTGATGACTATGCAGTGCCTGCCGACTCGGAGAGTAGGAAGGGAATAAGAAACCTACCTCCCCTGACTGGCAGGGAGTGGTGGAATCCAGACAACTGGTAGTGCTTTCAGCTCACACAAGCAGGACACTGGGATAATCCACAGACAAGAAAAGGCCTGGCTGGGATGGGTGTCTATGAGGACAGAGGCCAGAAGCTCATATCAAAGTCTGAGCAGGCTCAGGCCTTGGGCTGGTGCCTGCCTGGCAACTGTGTCACTAATTCTTCATAGCCGTTGCTGAAGCCCACAGCACGCCTGGCAGCCCACTGATTTCCCTGGGCCAAGTTACCACACAAAGCCTAATACCTCTTCTTTCCTGCCAATGTAGGGATTGAGTGGCTATGGAGAAAAAAGGATGGGGAGTATCAGTGAATGCCAGCTAGCATTTATTCGTACAGTGTACAGTGCCTTGGACGTCTCAGAGCTCTTTAATGCTCATTATTTTATTTACTGTTTATAACATCTTGGAAATGCTAGACAATCAGTAAATGAAGAGATTAAGTTATACAATGGTTAACTGATTTACTTATATCATAGAGAGAAATATCTAAAGCCAAATAATTCTCATTTTAAAATGTTTAATTTAAAATTTTTGTGGCTCCATATTGAACATATTACAAATATAACATACCAAGTCACAATCTTGACATGCAAAAAATTTTCTGGTTTTACATACCTTTCATGTGTGTGTGTGTGTGTGTGTGTGTGTGAGAGAGAGAGAGAGAGAGAGAGAGACAGAGACAGA